ATCATTAAAGTTCTGCAGGTATGCCAAAAATGTTGAACGGTTTCCATGTCTCTTAGTTTGATGTGTAAATAGAGCACAAAATAAATGTATCTCTTTTCTATTTAGACTCTAAATCATGGGGAATACTGAGAGCCAAAACGGGGAACATGCCCTCTACAGTACTGGACGTGGCTATTTGTCACGGAAGCACATGTCTCGGTCTCTACGCATTTCCAACAAACAGTCAAGGCGTTCTCGGCATGCTTCATCAGGAAAAATGGAGCACAGAAACTCTGAGACAAGCACTCGGTCAAGTAGCACCCCCAGCATCCCACAGTCCCTAGCTGACAATGGTTTGGAACCATTCAATGAAACAAACAACTTCCCTGACTTTGGAAGCCCCATTTGGGTGGATCGTGTGGCAATGAGTTTGCGCCCTATATCCTTTCATAATGATCTGGCCAATCCCTCAGTGCATATGAATACAATGCACATAACCCTACCTGGTCCCACTGCGGAAGAGACGCAGGATGAGGAAGTGTACACAAATGAGGTTAAGTATATTCAGCAGACCTTAGAGTGCTCCAAAGAGACAATCAGCTTCAAAAAGAGATCAAAATCTGCAGACACCTGGCGAGATGACAGTCTAGAATTTTCCCTGTCTGATGTCAGTCAAGATAATTTAACCAGCACCGAGGAGATCATCGACATGGCTAATGAGAGAGACTTCCCTGACTGTGAAGGCCACATGCAGTTCAGCCCAACAGACTCCGCCGACAGAGCAAACTCACTGGATGAACTGTACAGTGACACCAGCCCAGCCTCCAGAACCCACGGCCGCTATGCCAAGTGGCAAGACACCAACAGATCTGTGGGAGAGGGAGAGGACGGTAAGAGGCTGTCACCATCAGAGGAGGATGGGACTTCATACGGCGCGTACACTCTTCCCTGCCGACGTTCCCACTGCCTGTCTGAAGGCCTGAGCAACCTCCAAGCCACAATGTGCAAGAGTATGCAGGGCCGGAGAGCACAGACCATCCAGGTGAGACCTTTGCTTCATCTGTGAGTTCACCTTTCACAGCTTTAATATTTGGCTTATCATTTCTGAAATACAACGTGGATTCATGAAATATGAAACAACTGTTCATAATAGGATATGCTTAGGTAAACACAGCAAGGTGTCGTCGCATCAAGGTATTTACAAAAAATGTCACATGACCTTTACATTTTCCTAGAATGGAAAAGGTACATGTGTTCCTTTAGCATACTTAATATTGCAGTTGTAATTGTCTACTCAAGCAAAAATATAGAATAAACCACAACTGTCTTAATTCTTTATTCTTTTGGACCACAAAGGTTAAAAAAAAAACATCTTAATGATCCCAAAGACTTTAGTAAAATATTCTGTGGACAAAAGAGACAACAGTGAAACTTTTCCACATGTTTATCTCCTGTGATTGTGGCAATTTTCAGAAAAATAAAGTAGTGATTGTCAAAAGTGGTGGTGGTAGTGTGATGGTCTGGGGCTACTTTGCTTCTTCAGAATCAATGCTACCTGCCATAATTATAGGGTTTGTCATCTAGTAATTCAATGATCCAATCCACCAAGCCCACCTCTGAATGACTCAACAAAACCCCAATGAACACTTTTGGAGTGCCGTAGTCAAAATGAAGAATAGTTGGACGAAATTCCTCCACAGTGACGTAAAAGATTACCAATCTCAAATACTTGATGACAGTTGTTGCTGTTAAAGGATGAACAAGTTACTATGTATAGGAGACATTTACTGGGATCACGTTAATATGGATACATTTTTAGCCTACTTAATGAAATAATTTTAAAATTGTGTTTTGTTCTTACTCTGGTTGTCTTTAATATCAACATTTAGCAGCATCTAAAATAAAGTAAAAATAAAATACAAATAAAGTTAGCTAAATTTCTAAGAAAGAAAATACTTTGTCATAATTTGCTAATTAAAGCAAAACAAAAACTGTTAATGACCACAGTTATAGTCAAGACAACACATGGCATCATTTTATTTTTGATGAATATTAATAATCCTCATTGACCCTGAGAATTTCTTGTTTTGAACCCACCCCACAAAGTTTCTGCATTTCACCTCTGATGAAACCATTTTTTTATTTTTTTTTTCCTGGGAAAGGAGACTGGAGAGAAGGGAGCACAGATTTAGTGACTGTGTTAGAAATGCCCAGGGCCTTTGTTATGATAATGAGGGAAGGCCTGTGCTAGAGTGTAACAGTAAAACGTGTGCGGTGGCCCCTATCATGACAGGATACCGTCAGCTTTGCTGAATGGAGCTCCAGCGCGCCTGATTAGGTCATGTGACCAGATGGAGATACCAGGCTCTGTGTATCCCCTTTTATCTCCCAGGAGCCTTTGGCCCTGTGAGGAGGAGACAGCAGACCTTTTGGTGCCACAGGGAGGGCAGGCCGTATTCATGCAGAAGAATTCTTGCTGTTCATTAATTTTAAGCAGAATCTGGGCATTAGACTTTCTAGAGCCATCTTTAGCTTATGATAGTCTATGGTCTTTTAAAACTTGTTTACTTTTCAAGCAAGTCTGTTCTGTATCTGGAGATATTGCTGCGTTATCGTTCATGATTTCTTATTGTTTCCTGCCTGTGTTCCTGGTGATGAAGAACAGGCGGTTGCCATGCTGTCTCACCTGCCTTGTTTCATCTTCCAGGATGTCACGGCCGGAGATGGCAGTGAATATGAAGACAGCGGGATCGACGGGGTGATGGTTGAGGCGGTGCACCAACCTCGACGCTACAAGACGATGTCGGCGTCCTTCTCTGTCTGCTCCATGCACGGGCGGAACGTGTTTGTTGGCAGTGACAGCGGCAGCAGCAGTGGCGGAGGTGGCGCCAGCGAAGGTGTGCAGGGTGTGTACGAGAACTTCCGTCAAGAACTCCAAATGAGTTCCTGCCAGACAGAGAGCTTGGAGGAAGCAGGCTCCGCCCTTAGCGATGAGCAGAGCACCATGAGCTCCGCCTACCAGTCTGATCTGTTGCTAAGTGTCGTCCAGGGGATGGTCCGTAAAGCCGGAAAACTTGCTGTAAAGAACTTCCTTGTGCACAAAAAGAACAAGAAAGTTGAATCTGCCACAAGACGCAAGTGGAAGACTTACTGGGTTTCCCTAAAAGGTAAGTTCAACCACAGTGCAGCATTAGCATCACATATTACGAAATAACTCTAAAATTATAACCAAGACCATAGGTTTACATCCGTTTTTATTCTCCATTCTTTAGACATTGAATCAGTACAAATTTTTTTCTGTCTTAGATTTGAATTTCTCAAATTATTTCTCTATTTGTTTGAATAGCTTAAAGCTGCCTCAGTTGGGTCAAATGTTCTGGATATCTTTCAATGAAGACACTAGTTTTAGTAATGGGAAGGTTTCATAGGCCACCTTGTTTACACTCACACAACTTTTCAGTTCCAATCACTTATAACCACAAATTGTTTGGACTTGTCACTCCTGAGACTTACCAGTTTCTGCTTCATTCTTGCCAATGTAAAAATGGTCATTATTGGTCACTGAGTGTCTTTGCAAACTATACTTTTGGAGTAAAAATGGCTTCTTAGTTGGTGAATGGCCCTTCAGCCAGCATCTTTATGAATCATTTAGCTGTTGTTCTGTGATTGAAATGCACATTTTAGACATCCATTTCTTTGACACAGAACCCATCTTCCTAACTGAACAGTGTGATGGTTGGACATTGGCTTTATAATTGTGCTTAATAGTTTGAAGAGGTAAAAGTTGCACAGTCACACATGTAGAAATCGTAGCCAAGCTGTACTTTCCTTTTTACATAGTGTATGTAAACTTCTGGTTTAAATGATGTATTAATAATAACACATCTGACTTAAAACCTTTGCGTACCTTGGTACAGGTAAGGTGCATTATATGCATTATATATGAATAGCACTTCATATAAACTTGCAGTTTTACCTTTGTGTTGCTTGACAGTATTTTAAAACAAAAATCATGGCCTTGTCCAAGTCAGCACTGCTGCACTTCTTAATCTTGGCCACTGGAGAGCAGAAGTAAATTGCTGAAGCGATTTAGGCTTTCATGGAAAATGAAGACTGGAACCAGCAAGTATGCTTCTTAAAAACAAGTTTTTGGTTTTCCAGGCTGCACGCTCTTCTTTTATGAAACTGATGGCCGGTCAGGGATAGACAACAACAGTATTCCCAAGCATGCCATATGGGTGGAGAACAGTATCGTCCAGGCTGTGCCTGAGCACCCCAAAAAGGACTTTGTGTTCTGCCTCAGCAATTCCTTGGGGGATGCATACCTTTTCCAGGTAAGAAAATGTTTCTGTGTCACCAGGTAGCCATTGAAAAATGAAGGTTCAACATATTTAAATAATTATTGTTTCCATAAACATTAACAAATCAAAATCTGAGCTTTACTCAGATTTTCATCAAATCTGTGTCTTGGCTACTTCTATGATTAACACTCTTCTTACTCAGAATGTCAGTTTAATTAAGACAACTGACATCATATTAGGTTTGCAGTTGTGTCATTCCTTTCAGAGTCATTGACTGGACATCTGTGAGATTTGAAAGCTCGAGACATTCAGACAGCTCCACAACTTTGTTCCTAATTCGTCTGCTGTGTCCTCCGGCTTTCATGATGCTGTTGGTTAACCATTGTTGTCTAACAAACATCTGAGGATGCAACAGAAATGACACATTTGGACAAATAATAAATGCATACACTTCCAAAAGGAAAATTGGTTGTTTTATTATGTTTTTTAAAATGTAGAGTTTCACTTACAGTTTACACACTTGTTCAACTGATGTGCTGAACTTTGATTTATCACAAAAATCAACCTTCATGGTTTTAACGTGACTAAAAATATACAAAAATAAATAAAAGGAACATGAATACTTTTGCAAGAAGTTGCATGTCAACACATTTAACCTCTAAACTTCTACTTTCTGCCTCCGTGAAGACTTGCAGCCAGACAGAGCTAGAAAACTGGATCACAGCCATCCACTCAGCATGCGCCACCGCCGTCGCTCGGCAGCATCACAGAGAAGACACCGTTAGGCTGCTGCGTGCTGAGATCAAGAAGCTGGAGCAGAAGATCGACATGGATGAAAAGATGAAAAAGATGGGAGAGATGCAACTGTCTGCCGTCACTGACACCAAGAAGAGGAAGACAATCCTGGATCAAGTAGGTTTCATACCCCTCACTCTGCCGGATTGTTGGGTTTTATCCCATCGGTTGATGTGTTGAACTTTTCTGTTCTCAAATCCTTCATTATATCTAGGTCAAGCTTTTACAATCACTTTGAGATTTGTAGCTGTTAATGACATGACAGTTTCTGTTTGAAATATAATTTATTTCTTTTGATGATGCCAAAAAAGATGAGAGTGTTATATAAGTATGGAACAATGAAATTTCCCCCCCTTTTTGTTACTTAATATGTGAAACAAATGTTTCCAAAAGAAATAACTTTATATTTACCACGCTATCATTTTGGATTTAACTGATTTAAACTGAAAGGGTGTATTAGAGTTGCAACAAAAACAAAATAACAGGTTTATTATTAAAAATGCTAAATATGTTTTGATTCACTTCTATTGTTTTCGAAATACTTAAAAGTAGAAAAGGTTTATTTTGTTGATGTTAATGTATGTTGACTAAAACACAAGTGATAACATTTTTTAGGTTAAAATTAGGTTTAAATAATGTTCCACTTCTTTCATGAAGTGTTTACTCATAAAACGCTGTTTAATGAGAAAACAGTGTTTTACATCTTAAATGGATCCATCAGTGATAATGATGGATCACATGAATGGTAGTTCTCAAACTTTTTATAAGTGTCATGATTGTGAATGTTAAAGTTTCCAAGTAACACCATACTGGATGACATTTCAGTAAAAGCTGCATTCAATCTAACGTAAAAGAAGAGGAAGAAAGTGCATTATCAATTTGAGTATTTTGGTAGTTGTTTCCCAATCAGTGCTGGAGAGATTTATCATGACACAACAAGTGGGGCAGGGAAGAAGAGTTGCATGCAGAGAGAGAGACGAGCTAAATATTTTCAGAGTTATTGTCTGAACAGCTGGTGGTGCTGCACACATACTTTTTCTGAACTTTGTATGCTGTTGGCACTGCTGAACAGAGCTCCATTCTCCAATAATTGAGAAGCTCACATTGTGTCTAATAGGATTGCTTACAGAGAGGGGACATCAAATGGCCTTTGTTCGGTCAGTCAGGGACTGCCTGGTTGGAGCTGCTCTGCTTGGCAGCGTCGGGTTGGAAAGTTTGCAGAGCTGAATGGATATAGGACTGGTCCTTAAAAAACTGAAACTCTTCCTGCTTCTATCTGCCAGTGGAATGCGCAGCATTGTTTCTCCATCTCTAGGTTACTTGGCAGTAAAACAGAACTTTCTCCCATGGCAATGGCAATGTCGAAGACCTTTTCCAAACACCAGCTCAGAACCGTGACTGGGACGAGACAGCCCAGTGAATAATCACAATCTCCCGCTCTACTGGCCCAGTAAACATTTAACTGTTTGGTCCAGAGAGTACAGACAGCTTTGAGTAAACTAATAGAACTTTTCAATAAGAGAAAAAGTTCTCTATATTAATTTGAAGTTGACAAATAATTAAATATATTTGCTTTTATGTCTCTTTCAATCCACAGATCTTCTTGTGGGAGCAGAACCTGGAGCAGTTCCACATGGATCTGTTTCGCTTTCGGTGCTACCTGGCCAGCTTGCAAGGTGGAGAGTTGCCCAACCCTAAACGCCTCCTGGCCTTTGCCTCCCGCCCCACCAAACTAACCATGGGCAGACTGGGAATATTCTCAGTCTCTTCCTTTCATGCACTGGTAGTTATCCTCTTGATACTTCATTCTGACTTTAGTTAACCATAATATATGTTTTTGCTACATGTGCACATGCATTTAAGCCAAACTATAAATTGTAAATAACTGTAAAGGACTGTTTGGATTGACTGTAACATCGGTAGTGTCACCAATTCAAACTGTTGTTTACCAGTTGCATTATGGGCCATTTGGAAGGATGTTTTGCATTTTTATGGGTAAACCTGATCAGGGTGCATCATGATACTTCATGGTACAGAATGTTTGTTAATTACAACCAATATTTTCATTGTGATATTCAACATAATACTGTTGAATATTTCATTTGGAGGATGTCTTTTGAGAAAGCATTGGCACGGTTTTCTTCATGATATAGTTTGGCAGCACAGTGTTAACTTGATGACTCACCTGGCACAAAAGATTGCCTCAAATAATATTTCTTCATGCCATGATGGCTATTTACGTGTTAGAGTTTACCAGTGGTCACCATTTGACAGGATTTAGTTGTGTGCCACCCTCCTACGGCTACAGCAGGGTTATGCTCTCCAAACACAAAACGAACTGTTGCAGAGAGAAACGTCAATTTGATTTTTAGACTTCATTCAAGTTCTATTTTTCTTCTGCAACCACCAACGCAGCGTTCTAGGGCAGGTGGGTGTTCTGGCTCTTCGGGAGCAGTTTGTGATTTGAAGAGTTGGCTTGCTGTTTTATTTGTCTCATTTGCCTATCCCTACATTCACAAACATCTATATGAGTAAGAGTCTATTTAGCTGTATGTGTACTGCAATTAGATGCCTGTGAGTTAAATGTCTTCTGATAAATATTTATTAGTGTCTTGTCACTAAGAGCTTGTAGAACATAATAAAAAAAAAAATGTATTTTTGTTTTTGCAGGTGGCAGCCCGCACAGAGACTGGAGTGAGACGCAGAACGCAAGCCATGTCTCATTCCTGCAGCAAGCGCAAAAGCAGGTTTTCCTCCCTCTGGGGAGTAGACACAACCTCAAAGAAGAAAACAAAAGCCCACCCTACAGTCAGCCAGGTCTGTGTGATCCTACATTACTGGCACAGCAGAGTTATCCGCACATATCTTTTTCCTTTGCCCTTTTGTTTAAAAACAGCCCTTCACCATTCTGCCTGAGGTAACACTACACCTCTCTCTTTTTGGCCTTGCAGGTGTTTGCTGATGGTGAAGAGCCAGAGAGAAAACCAGTAGATTGCATATTTGTTGATTCTGTGAAAGAAAACACAGTAAGCTTTCGCTCTCTGTTAACACTAATTTGTCTGTAAGAAATAGGTCAGGCATACTGTACTTCAGTCTTTCCAAACTTTTCAGCAGGCTAAAGGAGCTTGTTTTAAACTCCTTCACATTGATGAAAAACTACTTGTTTCTCTGGTAGATTATTTATTACATTCTAATGTTTATAATCAGTGGTTTGTGTTTGGTACCACTAACTTTTTAGTTTGTGGTGCCGGCCACTGATATTGGGCTCAAGTTATATGTTAATTTTTTTCAAAACTGAAGTTTTGCTAATAATTAACCAAACTCACAAGCATTTGTTTTTATACCAATGAAAGAATCAGTTTCACTCATCCAGTTTTCAAACTGAGATATTGAAATAAATTAGATTTCTGATGATATTCTACTCAGAATAAATACTGGAGCATTTATAAAATATTAAGAACTACCAAAATTAAAATGAACTCTGAGTAAAAATAATTATTTAAGAAAAGAGTGGAAGCGAGGTTCCACCAAGATGATGAAATTAAAGGACTACAGTTAATTAAAGGACTGTAATTTACCAGCCTTCTAATATCCGTGTTGTCAGAAAACAGAAGACGGAACTGTGAAAAACCTCGCTCGACCAAACACTGATAGCGACATGTGGGTTCCTGAAAACCTCACTCCCTCCTGGGTTTGTCTGCCAAATGACCAGCCTGTGTTAACCACCATCCAGCCAGGAGAGTCTGCATTGTGTGTTCTGGAGTCTATATGCAAGGTAACAGAACTATGACGTAAATATGACTTTGAACATGTATCTTTTTTTATGCTAAGTCTGCTCTGTCAAGGATCTGTACGCATATGTGCTGTTATGAGGATATGAAGGTAAAAAATATTTTACTTTGGTATTTAAACACAACTTGTTCTTGTATTTGCAGACCCATGAGCTTGACCCAACCAAACACTACTTGCGGCTTAAGTTCTTTGTGGAAAACCAAACGCAATTCTACATTCCCAAGCCAGAAGAGGACATCTATGACTTGGTATATTTGACTGCCTGATTGGAAAGCATCTTTTTCCTCACATCCCAAAAGCCTTCATGACGTTAAACTTAATAAAATAAACCTTGAAGTTTAGCCTGTATGAGGACTCAGAAGGCAAAATACTTCATTCATAAGAAAAAGAGAATAATTGGGAGATCATGATCCAAAACAAGAATATGGAGACCTTTTTACAATAAAGTGATACATTCTTGTATTTACATCATCCCTGTCAAGATATTGTTAGTGCTGCTTTGTGTGAGAAGGAAGGAAATGAATGCTCCATTTTTCTGCCATCGATAACCCGCCCACAACACTGGGACTAAAGTTAGACATGGCTTCAGGATTTATATAATAACTGTTTTTTGTTCTTCACAGCTGTACAAAGAAATCGAACTCTGCTCCAAAATAACTAAAGTAATCCAGTTTGACAGAGATGAATCCTGTATGATTGGTTATGGTGAGAGCAGTTTTTGTTTTAGAATGAAAATGTTATATTTTTCGCTTTGTTTGGATGAGAAAAAATTATCATGTTTAACCCTGACATGAGTCGTGTTCCTTTCTCAGCCCTTCTGGTTTTCCCTCTTTTTCTCCATCAGGTTTTTCTATCTCAGTGGTGGAAGAAGATGGAGTGCAGCAGCTCTACATCACTGATGTGAAGGCTGGGGGCTTAGCCTTTGCCAAAGGTTTGTTTCTCATAGAATAGCTATCTTGCAGTTAATTTGTTGCAAAGATGGCAAAGAGCAGTAAAAAAAAAAAAGAAAAATTGATGTCTCACTGCTCTTATTAATTATTTTTTTAATTACTGTTTTCACATTCATGCAGATTAGTGATGAACTTATAACTTGGCCAGTGTTATTCCATAAATGAGAATAAAAGAGTTTTTCCGCAATCTTGAAAAGTCGGGCAAAGATTTGATTTATGCAGGGCTGGTTTTTGGTTTCTAGATTCTTATTCAAATGTCAAAGAATAAAATCCAGAAGGATTATTTAGGAATGATTTATGATCCATTCATGTCCTTTATCTTGGATTTGACACATTGCTATTTGGCAGTTCTTTAGACACTTTTAACTTGAAAGGGTGTCAGATTGCCCATGTGGATTTTCATCTGGGCCTGGTTTAGGTGACAAAAAGAGTGTTTTTATTGACCTGTTTTATGTTGTCATATTTTCAATTTTTCCAAACTGTCCATTTTATTTTTAAGACAGATGGTTCCACCTAAAGCTAAAACTCAGGGAAAGTAAATGGTTTGCATATAAAATGTCAAGGAATGTAAAACAATACTGGAGATACTATATTTGTATCTGTCACTGCAGACAGATAAAGTTTAAGTCTTGCATGAATAATTTAAAGGGGAATAATCTGAAGTGTATCTTGTTCTTAACATTTCAACAGGTCTGAATGCCGGAGATGAAATTCTCCAGCTGAATGGGAAAGACTCCCACAGTCTCAATTTCTCAGACATGAAGGCTGCATTCTCCCAAGTGTCTCTGGCTTTGACGGTCAACACTCTGCCCTCAGTGGACCGCCGTCAGCTTTGCTACCTTCCACCACGGCGCTCTGATGCGGCAGAAGACCTTTACACTGACATCTTCTCCCAAAGTCAAGGTAAAAAGTGCTTTTAAGTAAAGCCTGTTGAACACAAGTAGCAGTAAAAATAGCTTCCTCTGCAATGTTAAAACACATTTGTACATAAACATACATATGAGATAAAATAAAAAAAAAAAGAAAATAAACAAAAACCTCCATCGGAAATTATTTTTATTTCTTTTTAGACATTAAAGAAGTTTTAAATAGTGTTTTTCCTGACTTAACAGGTTTTCATTGAGGTTGCGCTTATACTTTCTATGCAGCAAGCATATTAATGGTACCAGAAATTTTAAAATTATGAAAAATAAGAATTGGCTACTTATTTTACCATTATCACTTTATTTGTTGTACTTTTTACACTCTCCTCTCTGTTTGTTTTTGTCTCTTCTCTCCTTCATTCAGCTTTCTGTCTCCACACATTGTTTCCTTTTTATAACCTTGGAATATTTAACGTTCATTTTTGTTTCATATGAGTACTTTTGAGATGAAAATGTATTTTTAGATTTTGTTTTTGTAGTTTATAAAAATGTAACATTAAATACTAAATTAATGTTACATAAATTTAGCATTTTGTCGAAGTGTTGCAAAAATCGTGCATGAACACATGTTCTAGACACTTTAATGATCACCGAAAAAAACAAAAACCGAAACTGAAACCATCTATTTTTAATAATCTGGTCCAGTGAATCAGAGATCTTCGTAGAGATCCAGTTCAGCCAAAGATTTTCAAGTTGTGGTAGTTTCTGACTCTAAAGTGAGGATGAAAATACAAATCCCCTTCCCAATAGCATTCAAAAACTGAACAATAGGGTCAAATCTCTAATGTTTGGGTAAAAAAAAAACTGAAAAATGTGATTTTTCTTTTGTGTGTGAAATAGAGACATGATATTAAAAGTCTGAGGCCTATAGGGTTAAATTGACTTTTAATTTAATTAGTATTCCCACAGCAATAACAAAAATACTGTAAATACTATATGTGTCACCAAAAGGAAATGAGCCATAAATGAACACAACTATAAAACATTTTTTCAGGAAGAGTTAGTGGCTGTAATGGTTTCTCAAAGACAGACAGTGATGCATGATGTTCACCTAAAATGAACAGATGCTTAGCTGTCAAATGTACTAAATTTGTCCAAAGTTAATTCGTTCTCAGCATTTTTAACAGCTTTTGAATAGCTGTTCACTTTCACGGATGACGAGACATTGTAATTGCAAAATATATGGAAATACTAAGAGGACACAGAATGTGTCCCAAAACAATTCTGAATAAATTAGAAAAATTAAAGGTGGCACATTTTAGACTTTTAGTTTTAAGCAACCATGGCTTTAGACATATCATTCTAACATGGGAAAATAGTGAAATGCTTTACCAGGAAACAAAAAGCGCTTGTGTTTTTGTTTCGATGCAGAGGAGATTCTGGACGATGGGGTAGGACTGCTGCTTGAGAGCTCTGGAGACAGCCTGGATGACGATTCAGAGATCTTTAGCGAATTTGATGAGTGTGGAAAGGTAAGACTGCAGCAAATGCATGACAGCATATCTTGTTTTGATGCTTCCTACTTGTCCTTCACAGCAACCCTTCTCAGCTTTCTGTTATGAAAAAAAAAGCCTCTTATGAACATTTGCTGCTGCACAGTTTGAGTCACCACCTGTTACTGGCTCATTTCAGCACTTTACAAAAGCTCTGCAGTTTTTCTTCACATTCACTTATGGGTGCTACTGTTAAGTGCAAATTTGTATTGGGCCTCCTTTTGACAACTGCTACAAAAGAAATACAGACAACATAACATTAATAACTGCTCAATATTAAAAATGCCTCAACAAAAGTACATAAACTTAAAGCTTTTTGAACAAAACATGCTGGTGATATTTGTCTTTAATAAGCTTAATTTCTAATGTCTTTATTATGCACAGTTATTAGCCATTAGGATGAATGAGGTGCATTCATCAAGGAACACAAATTGCAGAAGAACATAACTGTCAAGATGAAGAAGTAACATTGCCATTAATTTGCTTTCGGGTAATGACAAAATTTTTTCCATGCTGATGAAAAAATGTGGCTTAATTAAGACGCCAATCTCTAATCTTCTCTTCGTAACTGACTTTAAAAGGTTTTCCAAGTATCTTCTTGGTCACAACATTTCTAATCCGTCATCACACCAGTTTACTACCTGATTAAGTCTCTAAGTAGACAGCATCGTCTGATCTTCTTAATCCAAATAAGGTTATGCTTAGTATATTTGTGCTTCTGCAATAAATATGACTAAACAGAGTGTGTAGTTGCTTGCAAAAGTATTCACATCCCCTGACTTTTTTACATTGTTTTATTGGGATTCTTGGGATGGGATTGCGATGGACAAACAAAACATAGCACATAATCGTGAATAAGCCTGCTGCAATAAGAAATTACTCAATTGGATTATGAATTAAAATGAGCTTGTTGATTTCCATTCTGATTAATATTTTGATGGGCAATTTTTCTTTCAGAGCATCATATTTATGGTTTAGTATTAAGTAGTTTTTAATAGTAGTTTTTTGGTATTAAACAATAGAAAAATAAATATTAAAAAATTTTTTTTTTATTGTTTTGTTTTATTTTGGATATTTAAAATATCTCCCAGTTCCAGTATTAAATTAAAGTTTATTAGTCTTTGACGGCGTGAGCTTGCAGGATTATGCCATTATCAATATATCACTTGAGAATAACCTCTAAACAATTATTTTTTATTACATTAATCATCAAAACTACTTATTGTACAGCAAAGTGTATTAGCATGACAAGCCTAATTGTGAAAGAACGAAAATGATTTTTTTTCCAAACAAAAATTTGTAAGATATGGTAAGCTCTTTTCTCTGATACACTGATGAGGATCTTCAGAAGTCACCCAATAAGTTGAGGCAAGCTGTTTGATATGATCTCTCTAAAAATTCAGCTGTTCTGTGAAACTTCATGGTTTGTTAAAACAAACGGCACCATTAGGACCAAGAAACACTGCAGGAGTCAAACAAAAATTCACCCTTCTCGATTTTTATTTATCAAAAACCTTCAAACCACATGTTTTTAATAACTCCTTTGTGTTGGTCTATCACATAAAATTATGCAGTATACGAGCCCTTTCGCAAGGCAATGTTTGCTTAATTATATTCACATTTTCTGAGTATTAATTGCAGTTTTTCCATTTCCACTTACTGAATTTGAAGCAATCCTGATTTTGTCCCATGTAGTGAATACTCTTCTGTGCTGTTAAGGCTTACACAAAAATGAAGTGTCTTTTCTCAGACCTAATATTAGTGTTACTTTTTTTATGTTCAAATTATCTATCTGGTAACCACATTTTACAAGCACAAATGAAATGCATGTCAAAGTAATCATTGTAATAGGAATATATAGCCTACTTAAGCTTCTATTTCATAGAATTTAAAAAAGTTTATATATAAAATTCCCCATTATCTGTTTTGTTCCTACAAAGCCTGCTTGCTTGCAGCTCCTTTCACCCCCCTCCTCTTCATCAAACCCTACATTTATATTCTACTGCTGTGTTGCTCACCCAGCCAATCCTGCTGCACTGCAACCCTTGAGGAGGAGACTCCTTTCCTCCTGCACTGCTCTGCTCTGGGTTCAGTCACAGGGATTATTAAAACTCATTTGCAATGTTGTCAAAGTTGGACAGATCCTCACACTCACTCCATGTGCCCGAGTTCAGCCAGCCTGTAAAGAAGAGAGAGAGACCGAGAGAGAAAACAGGAGAGTATTAGCGACAGAGCTACAGCAGACTGTGAAGGCGCAAAAGAGGGGGAGCTGGAAGGCTGTAAGTGCTGGTGGGCGGAGAGGAGGAGGCTGTGCAGATTCACTCAAGGTCCACAGCACCTTCTTTTTTAAAACAGGAAAGACAAAAGGGGGCAAAGAGATGTGTTCTAGAGGCACAGAGTAGGCTTGACTTTTAAAAAACCTGGAGTTATCTCTCGGGCACTTTACCTGCTGCTGACTGTCCACTGACTGGCACTGGGCAATGTCCGTCCTGAAGTGGAGCAAGCACAGAAAGCGCTCTGCAGACTCCATCTATGACATGCTTCATCTGGTGAGATCTCTATCGTGTATCTCTTTACCTGAGTTGCTGTCGCTGCGGTCGTAGCTGTTTTGTCCTAGTTAGGGGAGGAAAACACCTTCATAGCTTTTGTTTAAAATCCCCCTCTCGACTGCTAAAGACAGGAAGCTGTGAGTCATCGATGTGTCGCATAGTTGCCCCATAATCACAGGAGTTCTTCACAAGATAATAAGGAAATAAACGGCTACATGCAGGAGTTCATTCCTGTGAAACTTGGACCTGACATGACTTTGAGAAACTACCCTCTGCGTTGCTGCGGTGATTGACTGCTGGGGAGCTTTCTGCCACGCAGTCTTGGGCTGTGATATCAATCTCTTGTCAGATTCACAGAGCAGATATGTAACCTTCTCTCTACCTCATCAGCGCTGTGCTGCTTTATGTGTTTCATCCATATTTAATAAGCTCAGGGAGACAATAAACTGGAGTCTCACACTTAATTTTTTTTTTTACCCATGACAGTGTCTTTGATTTGCATTCTGTTCGTACTTATCCTAAAAGCTCTGTTGTTTTTTCCTCGTCGTCTGTCTCTTGACTGCTTAGAAGATCACAACTGCAATGGTGTTAATTAGACTAAACTGTGAGGACTATGACCAGACTGTGACTGTTTTGCATGGCTTAGTGAAACTTGTTAAATTGTACTGTTAATTAACTCAAGCAGGAGGAATCAGATGACTTTATACCTAGTTCTTATATGGCTATTGCGGTCATCTAGATGATTTGACTTTGAGGCGTTTTGCATATTTTTCCTGGAGAAGGCACTGATTGTTTAATGAGCTATACTTGGGCAGTTCTATAAATTGGAAAACAAAAAGCTATGTCAGGAATGCAACACAAACATGAAACTGAGATAAATATTCATTATACAGAGAGTAAGAATGGTTTTATAATTCAACAGTTGTAGGTTATCGCCTGTATCCTCTGAGTCCAGCTGCAGTCCATACTTCCCCCAAACTCTGTTACTGTACTTGGACTAATAATCCTGGGCTTGTTCGTGCACCTATTTATACTATAGTTTTCTTTCTTCCACTTAACTTTCCACTAACAGACTCGCATACAATACTCTGTAAACAACCTTTTGTGACAGAGCCTCCTTTTTGGTAGGACTCTCTGTACTGTCAGCAATCATACGTGTCATTGCCAACAGTCCAAAAATCAGAAAAAAAACTTGAATAGTCATTTTTTATTGGTAATATGTTCTATAATATTCAAATTTTCAGAGAAACGTCTAAGTTATTAGCATTACTAAGTCGTAATAATCTGAGATGTCTTAAGAATGTTATTTGATGATATTGATGGTGATGGTTCAACACCATGAATGTTTGCATTTTCTGTCTTTCCCGTAAGTAAGGAAAGCATGTAAAAGCTCATTTCGATCTGTAGTCTGGGGAAGGAGGGAACATTTTGCAGCGTTTTGCTCCATACAGCTGGAGAAAACTCTGGTTGCTTAGTACTTTCTCTGGTTTTGATGAGAATTTTTGTGGTTTTGTAAGTGAGACTTCAAACCTCTTGTATCTTGATATTAGTAACTGGTGCAGACTACTTAATAATACCCATAAAACCTAAATAGTACTGATTCATTTTAACTCACTTCATCTACTAGAATGTCAAATGATCTGGCAAGTATTCTGTGCTGTGAATCATTGAACTGCTTTCTTAAATATTCAAAGAGAGTTTGATCACAGGTACTACTTGTTCTGAACATTTATGCAGATATAAAGTGCCATATTGATAAAGGCCAGATTAATAAAGGATTTCTCCATCACAGTCATTGCATTCAGAGTCTCTCTATGCCAAGCCGTGGTGCCAAATTGGGCACACACACATCCATGCTTTGTTGACCTCTCTTAATAATCATTTTGGCAAGATTTCCAATCCTACTGAAGATCAACAGGAGTCTTGTACAGACAATGGCCCTGGCATATTCAATTTAATATCGCATAATGGAACGAAGGCGGCTGTTCCGACTAAAACCTGTCATAATTAATAACTTGTCATGCCATTTTGTTGTGTGTGCAGACTGAAGTCAGCTTTGCCAATATTTTATAGTGCTCTGTTTACATACATTAAAACAGCAAATCATAATTAATCATTTTAATATATGTCAGTGTTGTTATGTTTCTTCTCACCATTTGAGAAGTGGTACAGTAGTGGGAAAAAAAAAGTCTGGCTTATTTCTCTACGTTAGCGCTGCACAAATGTTCTTGGACATCCTTCCTCACCAATGACTTAACAGCCGAATACAAAATGAGTGTCAGTGATTAGTTATCATATTGAATTTATTTCCATTTTCTTTCTTTCTTATGGTCACAGATGCCTTAAAGAACAAAACTAAGCAGGGCAGTTGGAGCTGAAGCACAGGCAGAAGGTGGCAGTCAAAGGCAATTATAAGACTCCACTTGTGTGTGATGAGGAGCTCTGAACTACAGATCCTAAAACACTCTTATTTATTTCATCTCAGATTGATAGGCTCTTCTAAACTGCTGATGGCTTCTTTGTTTTTGTTATTTAGACACAGATTCTGTGTGCCCGAGATCAAAATAAAAAAAGATTTAAACAGCATCGTGAGGAAAACTAAAAGCAGTACATGAACCCACCACCTAAAAAACAAGCTATTATTTTCTATCAAACATACCACACCTGCTGCCTCTGGTCCACGATGATACAAGGCTCATCTCCCTGTGGTCCAGAAGCATGAAGACCTATGACATTTACAATTCTTGAGTCTAATAATCTATTTCATCTCGACACACTTCGGCACAAAACTTCTAATGTGTGTTAAAGGTCCTGACTGTCATGTGTTAAAATGCTCCAGATTTGGGATCTAAATGACTGCTGCATTATGTAAAATGAAGTAAAAATTATTAGCACTTTTTACTGCTTGCATCTCAGTAAACCTATGACACTCAAGAGTATTGCTGAATATCTAGTTAGTTTTATTTGTATGGAACATTTTTGCAACTAGGCAATTCAAAGTGCTTTCCACCATAAAAACATAAAACAGAAACCAATTGTGAAACAAGAAATAAACATTACATTTTGTCAAATGCCATACCAAATGCTATCTATTTGTGAATGTGTTCCTTTTGTTTTAAACCAAATTCTCGTGGATTTCAAACACTTGGCAATACCTAAAAGGTCAGTTCTGTGTAATTTAACCCCATAAAAAGACGGATCAAATTGTGCAGTAAGAAGTGGTACACTCACAAACTACCAGAAACTAGAAAAAAGGATCATCTAGCTCCACTTCTGGCTTCACTTCAATGGCTTGCTGCTTATTACAGAATTGATATAAATATGTACTGTTTTTAATAGTTTTAATGGTTTCTCTTATTGCTATACATCCACAAACAACGAAAAGGGAAAAAGGTTGAGCTTGAATAAAACAAAAATGTCCTTGCTTTGTGAAATAATGTACTATTCCAAAGTCTAGAGACTTTTGATGAGCTTTTAAAGACACTTCTGCTCTTTTGGCATTTGAGCAAAGAAAGAACTGGCTGTCTGAATGTGTGTGTAAAGTGTTTTCAGTGGTACGAATGACCTATAGAAGTTCAGTCTGTTTTCAGTTTTCAAATACTCAAACCCACTCAAAAATTATTTTGTTGTCCTTTGTTCACAATTGAAGACACCAATGACTTCACGTCAGGACATTTTTGATAGATGCTTGCTCCAGAAAGTTAGTAAATTACCTACTGAAGTGTTATAAAATGCATTTGTGACAATGCATTTACAGCCATTTCACCACTTCCTAGTTGGTGTGCAAGCCGTCTGAGAATTTTTGGAAATTTTTCAAGCGGTACAAACGGTTGTCTTTCGTGCCTCACATAAATGTCTGCTTGATTAGATAACAATGCTGACAATCAGTTTAATTTATAAAAGCTGTGTGAGATTAGACGTGTCTGGCATTGATGATATTTGAAAGTATTTCTGTCATTACATATAACTGAATGCTGAATTAAAAACAAATATGAATCTCTGATCTGAATTGCAGGTAATGAAACAGGCCTTTTTAGAAATAAATGTCAGTTTTGTTTGGCGAGCATTTTATGCACAGGAGATGGTGTTGAGATTGTGAGATGTGCTGACTGGGCGCGACTTTGATCTTAATTAAGATTAGAAGCATCCATCTTTTGCAGCTGTGTGAAGTCCATATCATTATTATTTCCCAGATGTATTTGTAGGTGTGACAGGATAAATTGCTTCCTTCAAGTCTATAAAACTGCCCATATTACAAGTGAGAGACATCTTTGCCCTCCTTAACATGGTTTTTAATGTACTCCTGCTGGCTGTGCCTTTTGTATGGCCCCCGATTGCTCTGCTGGATTTTCTCAGCTGGATTTTCTCAGGTGATCTCTTTTGTGTCATAATAATCCACAATATGATGAAATCAAGTTGTAATGGATAAGGAAGGAGCGTCTTTGTGCGTTCTCTTTTGTGTTTGTATTGATATTACAACCCAGCATTTCTTGTTTTTTATTTATTTATTCTTGTTTGGCTGCCGAGGCTGTAGCCTTTTGCAAACAAAGTAACTATTTGTTCAGCCATGTCGGCTTTTGTTGAGAGGGTCTATTTTTGTCCAAAATAATAGGCTAATGCACATCAGGGC